GCAGGTATGGACAGAGAGATGAAGGGATAGTTAGATGCAAGGCAAATACAGACAGAAGAAATGGAATGAAATGAACATATGTACAGTGTTTGATCAAGTGTGTGGGGTTTTGTTATGTATTTAAATGCTTTCTTGTTTGTTATTGTGCGTGTGTGTGTGTGTCATACATTTGCGCTTCTGCCTCCTCCTTTGCTGCCTTTGTATCTCCGTGTCTTATCATCTGTTTCCGCCTGTCTTTAAAACCTCCCTCTTTTCCTGTCTCCCGTCCTGTGGGCGAAAACATTGAACCGAACGCATTCCCAATAATCATTAGTTTTAATGGAAAATAAATTCCCTTTTCCATCACTGTGAAGTTTTATGAGCGCTAAAACCTGATGACGTATTAGTTACCTGACCCAGACGTGCCTGGTTTTACTTCCCATTAAACCCCATGCTTGATTAAAAGCGTGTCCTCGTTGGGGCTAACCAAAGATTCTCGTTTGACTACCTACAGCTTCTCCTTGAGTTAGTCAAAGCTTCCAAGTTCCAGGAAAAGGTAATGAGGCTCTTGCTGATTCCAGCGAGCCAAACTGATGTGATTCTTGATTATAGGGTAGTGTCGATTCTCAATGTCAGAGACGCTTATGGAAAAGAACTTCAGTGGGATCGGGTGATGGTCCAGATTCTTTGGATTTTTGGATTTTAGATTTATGATTGCAGATTATAGGAAAAACTATGCGGTTATATGCGTATTGGGGAGGGCTGTGTTTCTAGTGTCTACAAAATGACTATGATTAAAGCGTTCCAGAAGGACTGTTATTCCAGTGGCCCAGAGGGATTGTGATTCCAGATTCTATGAGCACATTTGCTTCGAGGAATCCAAAACAAAATAATATGTACAATTCCAAACGCCAGGATTAGTTCTTATTTAGAATCAATGAAGCCTCATCTGGACATTTTATCCGCCCCCAAGTCTGATTCCCACCCTCTGTTTTCGCCCCAAATGTGTAAACAGCGATAACGATAACATCACTTGCAATTCTCAATGTAATTCCCGTTTGATTCCCTGAATCCCACCTGCTCTAGCTCTAATAAACTTGTTCAAAACCTGTCAGGACCTTTCATCAGTGGCATTTGATGTCGAAGATGTAACCCCTTGTACAGCTTGACTGAACCTTATTGCCTCTGGTCTGTGGGCTGAAATTAATTGTATTATCTGGCCTGGATGTTGTTGTTTTAGGTTCAGCTCCTCTGAACAAACGTTCCAAGCAGCAGGGGCTATGGTGAGCCCGTGGTGGTCTTACCTGGTCTGAGGTTAGTTGAACTCGTCTGTAAATAGAGAGAGAGAAGGTGTCATAGGGAGAGAGAGAAACATTGTTTCAATATTTACAAGCCTGTTTTTCTTTGTTATATTTTGATTATCAGTCTTCTCATTACATTAGTCTTGCTTTTTTGTTTATTGAGACGAGACGAGATTGGTGCATTGTCTCCTTTATTCCTCCTCCTCCACTTCTTCCTCCTCCTCCTTCTCCTCCCACACAACACCAAGAGCCTCGATATATGTATTCAATTGTGACACTTAAAGGAGAATCGATATTCTTGGAATCGCACCTCGCCGCCATTCCTGTGTGGTGAGTGAGAATGGTCCTTAAGCCTGTTCCCTGCTGGCTGACTCGGTTCCCTGCTGGCTTATTGCCTTTCTGTTGGCTTGTTTGCCCGCCTGCTTTCTGACTTGCATGCCAGGTTTATTTCCCAGCTAGCCAGCACAGCACAGCACAGCACAAGCACAAGCAAAGCACAAGCACAGCACAAGCACCAGGAGCCACCGCCCGCTCGCTGGCAACAGCGGGCAGATCGGGTTGCCTCAAGAACGCTGCTGATTTGTTGCCGTTTTTCTCTCTTCTTCCCACGCTCTTCGGATTCCATTGGCGGGTCACCAGCTCTCTCGGAACTCCTCCAGGGAGGTCTATATGATCTCAAACTGTTTCATTGAGTTTTAAATGCACCTCCAAGCTTCTACGTGAAGTTCTTCATGCACCCAGGCTATTCCATTGAGCTCGAAGTATTCTCAGGCTGCTTCACTAAGTTATAAATGCACTTAAGCTACTCCAGTAATGTTTAAACTTATCCAGAACTGCACTACTGGATTCTAAAAGCGCTTAAACTTTTCCAGTGGGTTCAAGCTACGTCGAAATTTGCATCAGTAGGTTTTTATGGCAGTCAAATTCCTCGACTGGTTTCTCCAGATTTGATCCAGTAATAAATGGATAGTTTGATCCACAGGTGTGTGGCCTTGTTGATCCACAGGTGTGGCGATGTTGATCCACAGGTGTAGCCATGTTTATAACAGGTGGCATCAATGTTGATAAAACAGTAAAACATGTACGCGTGAGATAATTAAATTGAGGCTTCAATTTTCATTTTATCTTTTTTTTATTTTTCTTTATGAACTCGTTGGATTCTGTGTCTTGGCTCATCAGTGTCGCGTTTCACCCTCCAAATAACCTTCCTGATTTGATTCAGTTAGTGTGTGTGTGTGTGTGTGTGTCACCGGCTCGTTGCGCAGGCGTTCTCGACTCTCATTCGTTGAAAATCGTATCATACACAAGACAGGTCGCCAACGGTTGTTATTGTTTAAGATTCAGCTACTCGGAACAAAAGTTCCAAGTAGCACGGGCTATGGTGAGCCCGTAGGGATGTTAAAATCTACCTAACCTTGCCCATCCTATCCTAATTTAAAACAGCAATCAAGCCTAACCTTGCCCATCCTATCCTAACCAATTCCAACCGATCTTAATACAGCCTAACTTAAGCTAACATGACGGCCAAACCCCATGTCAGAAAATGAAGAAATGGCGACGTTTCAGTCCGTCTGTATTGTTATTGATAAGGAATCCAGGACAGACCGAAACGTCATCGTTTCTTCATTTTCTGATTTGTGGTTTAGATATCATATCTTCAGCCACGTTATTGTGACTACTCGTCTACCTAAGCTAATGCTTCCTAGCCTAACGATATATATATGGGTTTGACAAATCAGAAAACGAGTTTTTTCCAATTATCTTACAGTATAAACTATTGACCCATAACACTGTGTGTGACAACGTAACTACATTTGATCACACCCTAATCACTGTACGGAACAACAACTACGTGTTTGGTCCCCTAAAACCAAGTTTTGTACTTTTGTTTACTAAATCCTGCACTATTTATCACAGCGAGGCGTTTCTGGATAGATGGGATTATTTTATTATGGGAACAAGTAGCGGGAAGGAGGTGTGTATCTGTGTAGCTTCCTGTGTTGGTGTCGACTGTGATAACACAAGGGTCTGTGTAGCCTCCTGTGTTGGAGTTTCAACTAGAATTAAAATTTTTAGTAATTTTATCGTACTTGCGCCCTATGGCGGATTGTGCTCAAGCGAGGGCCTGAGTTCAGACATAGGCTATATCTTAAATCATTAATTTAATTATTTATTCAATTATTTATAGTTCTTAACACATTAATTTAATTATTAATAGTTCCTAATGCATTAATATAATTATGAATTCAATTATTAATAATTCTATAAGCATCAATTCTTAATTAATTGCTATTAGTTCTTAAAGCATAATTGAATTATCCGCATTTGAATTAGTTCAAGGAATTATAGACAACAATTAGCTGCTCTATTGTGATTCCTGGGCTGGAGTTATGGTTGCTATGGTTACTAGAGAACGTTTTTAATGGTTGCCATGACATCTAGAGAACGTTTTTAATGGTTGCCATGGCTACTAGAGAACGTTTTTAATGGTTGTCATGGTTACTAGAGAACGTTTTTAATGGTTGTCATGGCTCCTAGAGAACGTTTTTAATGGTTGCCATGGCTACTAGAGAACGTTTTTAATGGTTGTCATGGCTACTAGAGAACGTTTTTAATGGTTGCCATGGCTACTAGAGAACGTTTTTAATGGTTGCCATGGCTACTAGAGAACGTTTTTAATGGTTGTCATGGTTACTAGAGAACGTTTTTAATGGTTGTCATGGCTCCTAGAGAACGTTTTTAATGGTTGCCATGGCTACTGCAGAACGTTTTTAAGGGTTGCCATGGCTACTAAAGAACGTTTTTAATGGTTGCCATGGCTACTAGAGAACGTTTTTAATGGTTGCCATGGCTACTAGAGAACGTTTTTAATGGTTGCCATGGCTACTGCAGAACGTTTTTAATGGTTGTCATGGCTACTAGAGAACGTTTTTAATGGTTGCCATGGCTACTAGAGAACGTTTTTAATGGTTGCCATGGCTACTAGAGAACGTTTTTAATGGTTGCCATGGCTACTGGAGAACGTTTTTAATGGTTGTCATGGCTACTAGAGAACGTTTTTAATGGTTGCCATGGCTACTAGAGAACGTTTTTAATGGTTGTCATGGCTACTAGAGAACGTTTTTAATGGTTGTCATGGTTACTAGAGAACGTTTTTAATAGTTGTCATGGCTACTAGAGAACGTTTTTAATGGTTGTCATGGTTACTAGAGAACGTTTTTAATAGTTGTCATGGCTACTAGAGAATGTTTTTAATGGTTGCCATGGCTACTGGAGAACGTTTTTAATGGTTGACTTGGCTACTAGAGAACGTTTTTAATGGTTGGCATGGCTACTAGAGAATGGTTGCCATGGCTACTAGAGAATGGTTGCCATGGCTACTAGAAAACGTTTTTAATGGTTGTCATGGCTACTAGAAAACGTTTTTAATGGTTGCCATGGCTACTAGAGAACGTTTTTAATGGTTGTCATGGCTACTGGAGAACGTTTTTAATGGTTGACTTGGCTGTTATGTGATATAATAGTTGACATGGTTTCTATATAATGGGTTACCATATGATATAATTGTTACCATGGTTGCTCTATAATGACATAACGGTTACCATGTGATGTTATAATGGCTTGATATATGTTATAATGGCTGACATGTTGTTATATATGATGTTATAATGATTGTCATGGTACCAAGAGCAGGTTTATAATGTTGTCACCTTAACACAGATGCCCTGACTCCCAACGTCCGCGCACTGGTCGGCTCACCCAAGCGTCTCCCGCGTCCCAGAACTTCACGACACGCCCACCAAGGTCAGTAGCCTATCACCGTTGAGCTTTCGCACGCCTTTAAGATCAGTAACCAATCACCGTTCATGTTGCACTCTTTATTTATGGCTGGTAGCCTATCGCCGTTCATGTTACATCTTCTGTTATGGCTGGTAGCCATTCATTGTTCATCTTATATCCAGCTTTAAGGTCAGTAGCCAATCATCATCTACATTTTGATTTTAAATGCTAATAGCAGTATTCTTCCGTTTTATCTTTAAGTTTTGATTTTTCTTCGGCACCGCTCCTGTGCCAGGTAAGTCCACTACGGGCTCACCATAGCCCATGCTACTTGCCCCGCTCCTGTGCCAGGTAAGTCCACTACGGGCTCACCATAGCCCGTGCTACTTGCCCCGCTCCTGTGCCAGGTAAGTCCACTACGGGCTCACCATAGCCCATGCTACTTGCCCCGCTCCTGTGCCAGGTTAGCTACGGGCTCACCATAGCCCGGGCTACTTGGAACTAGTTCCGAGTAGCTGAATCTATAACAACAACAACCACCCCATCTTCCCTTTACGGGCTATTCATGCCCGTGCCACCTTTTGGGTGGCTTAATCTTCATCCCTCTTCCCTGTTACTACTTGATACGGGTCGTAGATGGACCGGAATGTCCTCACTTTCACTTGAGATGTGTGGGTTGGGTTACTTATAATGTACATAACCAATTTAAATATATATGTATAGAAATCATGGATATTCTCACACTATATTCTGTGTTGCTTCAGGTAAGTGTGGAAGGAGCAGCCTCTCGTGTGGTCGCCGGCCACTGTGACAGTCAAGGTAGGTGTAACACAGATTTCATGACAGGAAACTGCTATAGTCACAGTAATTATATGACAGGTTGTCAAACTTAGAAGTTCTACCTCCTTGTGGTGTTGCCCGGGGCACGCTGACGGCGGGGGAAATACACACTTCACACACACAATAGGTCACCTCGCTAAGGTGTCAGAGCAAGAATGCTTTGACACCTCAATGTAAAAATAACAAACTCAGTGTAAAAACTCTTTGACAAACTCGATGTAAAAATGTTGACCAGACCACACACTAGAAGGTGAAGGGACGACGACGTTTCGGTCCGTCCGGGACCATTCTCAATCGACTTGAGAATGGTCCAGGACGGACCGAAACGTCGTCGTCCCTTCACTTTCTAGTGTGTGGTCTGGTCAACATAATTTAGCCACGTTATTGTGACTCATCGCCTGCAATGTAAAAATATTTATTGGAAAATTGGTCCGACAAAATATGGAAACAAGTCACACGGCCGACATATTTGAAATCTCGTGAATTACAGTTTGGGAACTAATTGACCATTCATTTTTTTCGACTATCAGGAAATATTTTCAGTGTTTTTTGGGCCGAAATCTAATACGTTGCTTTAATTTGAAAATATAGTGGATACCTTTTACAAGCCGCTGGCTTCTTGTCCAAGACGAGTCCAGTGCAGATGGTGGCCCTCTGATAAATTCGGGTAAATTTGGGCAGCTATGGAAAAGTATCCTATAGTTGCACCATATATAATAGTTTGGCATAACATTGCTGGGTTGGGATTAAACGTTTTCTTTATTTAAGCTAACAACGCTTGATGAACTGTCAAAGAAAATGAAAATTGATGGGTGACCAGTATATTCTAAAGAAGCCAATCTCTTAAATCTACATAAAAATTTAATTATTTAACTGTTAAATATTTTCTTACATTTTCTATAATAATAATGCTTTTGAATTATGTCTAAACATTATTTGAAGGTACATACTTTAAATTCATAATGTTAAGAACCGCGAATTATTTTACAAACTATGTTGGGCCTCATCTGACAGGTTGACAGCCTAGTCGTGCCTCGACTGATGAGTTGTCAGTGCTGTCAGTCAAGTTTCAGTGGGAAGGGAGACGTCCACCCATAATGTTACCTATTATGAACGCAGCTCGGCCAAGAAGGATGTTGAGCTGCTCGTATTCTCTTATGATGGGAGTTATTTGACCATCCCGGATGTTTAAATTGTTTTCCGAAGAGTTGAGGTATTGATGTAAACTCATATATGGTTTACCATAAGTTTTTCCATAATTGGGGCAGGTAGCCTGTTAGGCTACCTGCCTAAAACTTTGGTTTCGACTCTTTTTAACCCTGTCGTAGCTCAGTCGATTAAGGCAGTGTCTGGGATGCTCCCGGACACAGGTTCGAATCCTCGTCACGGCCCTTGTGGATTTGTTCAGCATGTTAGGCTTATCGAGGTCCCCCCCCCCCAATAGGCTAGCTACTGCATCTTCCCCCCAGGATTCAACAGTTGCCTAACTCCCAGGTAACGATTTGCTGTTAGGTGAATCAGGTGAACGGAAACGTGCTCAATCGTCTCCGTCCCCGCTCGGGGAAACGAACACGTAGCCCACTATGCTACGGGACCCATATGTAGTACGGGTAGCTTATGTAAAAGACGAATTAGTGGAAGACAAATGATATCCTTGTTATTGATCGAATAATTATTTCAACAAGAATCTCTTCATATTTCGAAGCTTCGCATGTATTTTGATTGGACAAAAATCGAGAGTGTATGATTGCTGAGGTAGGCTTGATGTAGGGAACTACCACTGGGGTACACGCACAAGGGCACACAGGTGGAATTTGAGTATCCAAATGAACCACAGAAACATTAGAAAAAAACATTTTCAGTGGCAGAGTAGTTAGTAAATGGAATACACTAGGAAGTGATGTGGTGGAGGCTGATTCCATACAGTTTCAAATGTAGATATGATAGATCTCAAGAAGCTCAGGAATCTGTACACCAGTAGATTGACGGTTGAGAGGCGGAACCAAAGAGCCAAAACTCAACCCGCGCGAGCACAACTACGTGAGTACAACTAGGCGAGTTCGGTGGATTCTGGATCCTCCGTCCCGCCTCTCAGTGCGTAGTTCCGGCTTCGGCTTCCGCCCTTCTTTTAACTCTCGGATCTTGGTGAATGATAATGATCTTAGCTAGTTTGTTGTTTCAGTTATTTAAAACATAATTTATATTAGTCTTTTTTCCTGGCCAGAATTACATTTTTTTATAAATTATGTAAATTTTTCCATTTGGAAATGTGATACAAAATTTGCACTTGTTTTTATATTACGATTTCTTATTGAAAAAACATATTTTCTAATATTATGTCGTCGTTTTTAAGTATTGATAAAATTGTAGTTTTGTAGTGATGCTAGAACAGGAACAATTAAAACATTACAGGCAATTATCTTTTGTTTATCGCCTGTAATTGGCGTTCTGTCGATCTCATTAAGCACACGCTACGTTGTTTACATTTGAGTTAGTTAAATGAGCAACGAATTAAAATAAATTTCTTAACTTACTATTCATTAAATCAATTTTTGGCTTAGTAAAGTTGAGCTTTGCTTGAGATTATTGCCTGACTTTGCAAACGCTCTCGTATGAAGCAATATACACACACACACACACACACATACATTTCACCGGTTGATTGACAGATGAGAGGCGGGACCAAAGAGCCAGAGCTCAACCCCCGCAAGCACAACTAGGCGAGTACACACGGTCCTGGCATGGACGATATCCTAGCACAGTTGGATCATGTTATCCATCTTAACATATTTATCCTATGCTGTTTCATCCAACATTTGTTTTAAAATGTTTTTATTACTCGCCGAACATTCATGTTTTAACATCTTTAATTAATTATTGTGAAATAGTGTCTGGGAATATTTTCATTATGACTTTTAGGCTTGAGAGATAAGCACAATAATCATATCAGGGATAATCACCCCCATTACCGATAAGCTCGAAAATAATTGGTTGAAAGTAATGTGTAAAGTGTTTTACATTCATAACAGAAAGGAAGCCTATTCCAGTTTCAAAACACTTATTGTTATTAACATCTTTATTGACAAAATTAATTACAACTTTGCCTAATCTGAGGATTTCGATTAAGTCTTATTAAAGTGAGGATAATGCTGGTATTCACTGTCACGCAGGACAGAGGGTCATACAAGTGTTCAAAACACTTGGGTAACCGACTATGGAACCAGGCTTCCCTGTGGTTGTACCTAGTAAGCGCACGCGAAATATTTTTGTAAAGTGATGTAAATACGGTATTTTCCCCAAATATAAGTTAATATTATATAGCACCATTTTCTCCGTATCGGAAGTTAGGCCGCGATTAGTTCAGGTGTTTTGATTACGTTGGAAGTTATTGTATTTACAGTACGCGGGTGAAGCATTCATGTGTGTACGAGTAAAGGAAGCACTTTGATGAAAATTGGAACGAATTCATTGAGACACGTGCAAAGTTATTTTCGTCATAAAGTGTGTGGGGTGGGAGAAGGAGCTGCTGTATTGAAGACTAACTCTGTTATGAGGACGGGTTGGTCTTGAAGGCGAATTAATGCAGCCTAATGCTATGCTGATATATAATTTGGTTTGGTTTTCAATGTCTAGCTAGACTATAGCTGCTGCAGCTAAATGGTTATTAAGAAAACCACTAAAGCTTACTGATTAACCAGTGAGTATGCTTTAGTTCTAAATATCGTCGAGAAATCAAGAAACTTTCATAATATATAACACCAAGAAACCGGCGGTATAGCCTCTCGCTTGCTGTTGTTTGATTTCGCGAGGCCACAAGTGCCTATTGTGCCCAGGCGCTCTCGCGTAGGATAAAACACAAAACCTTTTGGCTATATACACCTCGAGTGTCGACGGAAAACTACCGTTCCTTGCGACAGATAAACACCGCCAGGCAGATGGTTGGTGAGCGCCTGGGAACTTCCCACAGTAATGATTCAGGATCAACAGCCAGTGGTGATAAGGCACGGTCCTGTAAACTCTGGGTAGCCGAAGAAATTCGCTATTCGGCAGAATCACGATGTCATCTTAAACTTGAGTCAATTGGGCAAAAAATGACTTATAATGGCGCCCACAACCCCCGAGGGCACACCATGAGTTCTCCAAGACCCGCTAACTCTCGGAATATTCTGACTAAGCCACAGTCA